AGCGCAAACTCGCTGATCACAAGCTCGAAGAAAAAGAAGGATCTACCCGCAATGTCGGCAGACGATGCACTGGCTGCTACGCGAAGAGAAGGGCTCAACAGTCAAGAGAAGCGAGCCGTGCGGCAGCAAAGAAAGTGAAGACTTTCTGTTCTGACTGTGAGAAATTTTTTTGTCTTGAGTGTTTTAATGATAAGCATTATGCTATGGAGTAAAGAATTCAAATAAAGAAATAAAGGCAGCACAGTTGACTCCTTATATTTAACCTCCTGCTTCAGAAAAAATCAAAAGAAAATGCTTTTCTATACAGATTCTCGCTAAAATAAAGCGTAGCCCACCGGTGGGCTACATCGTGGCGAGTGTGTTAATCATGTCTATAATGCTACTTTTACGGCTAAATTTATCGATATCAAGTAATATGGAACTGGGATACTATCGATGGACATTCCAATTAAACAGTGTTTGATTATTAGAATAGATATGGGTAAGAGTACATAATTTTATTTGACGCAACAGACACATACCGGCCATTATGGAGGGTATATGATTGATATATAAAATGTCGTGCTAATTACTTAAGTCTGTCTTCTCTTAAAACTCTTCCAACGATTTTCTCCTGGTTTCACTTGAAAAGTATTTCTTGACATAAAGCTTAGCACCGAATCCCATTCTTCTTCCTTTTGTTCATCACTGTTTACGTCTTCATCTTCATTAGTATCCGATGAAGATTCACTCGATTCATTTAGTTTTAAAGAAGGACTTAAACTTTCATCAACATGATCATCTTCTTCACTATCGGGTTCGCTCAATGCTCCTGTTCGAGCATATCGACCCATAACTACTCGATCACTTGGATCTGCAAAGCTCATTTCAAGTCTACGATACAACGTTTGAATCATTGTTTTTAATGGTTTTTTTAGCTCTGTTGCTCGATGAAAAATATAGACGAGACAGAAGATCATTAGATTTTTCTATATCTTGCATATCATATGAAGGTAAATGTTCATATTGCTTTTGTTCAGCTAAGTTAGTTCTGATTAAGTGCATGTACGGTGTACACATCGTTCGTAAACCTGATTGACGGTACTCTTTCACAAAAGACTTAGCGACATCAGCTAAAACGTTACTTCTCATTTCTTTCTTTGTCTTGACAAGCTCTATGATTAATTTGAAT